GAAATGTGTACAGGTTTTGTATCAACATCCAGGTGTGCGTAAGGCCTGCTCTGAATCAACAGGCTGCACCAGGTTGGTGAGAACTGTTTCTTATTTCAGCTAGTTAAACTGGTTTTATCTAGAGATCTGAATCGTTCTAAGAAACGCTCATTTCGGTTCTTGTTTGCTTATCCCAAACATTGATTATCTTTCATGAAACTGACTGATAAATGCATATCAAGTCCTTGGTGGCAGAAATAGCTGGTTTGGGTGGGTGTATATCCTGGGTTTCACCATGCAGTTTGGCTTTTGTTTGCAGGCAAAACAAACTCAATCCTGAAGTGACAACTGAAATGGTGCGGTCCTCCAGCGTAATGGTTTCAAACAAGGGTTCCGTCTTATCCGAGCCAAAGTTTGGACTAAGAGATACTATTGTTAAATCTCAGCTTGTACAAATGGAGGATTCCTACACACACATCCAGAGGTTCAGGTAACGATCATTCCTGAGAATAACTTATTTGGGGGGGAGTAAGTTAGCATAAGTTTTCAAAATGAATCACGTTTGTTATTTCATGTAGTACCCCTGCAAATAGGATCCATGCTTTCCAGACAGCTTGCTTTCCTCGTGTGGGCATTAGCAGAGAAGAATTTCATTCATGTCTCTGTGAAGGCTTGCCTCATGGTTCTTGCTGAGAAAGTGACCTTTCTGAGATTGCTTTTTCCTGTGCTTGTTTCAGACTGTGCCCCTCTGCCCTTCTCTCTTACTGCTTCTGTTCACTACTTATTCATGTAGTTGTTCCATTATGCTCATAAAAGCTTGGGTGAAACATATAAGGGTGTAGTACATAATTAGAACAAAAAAATTTACTGTGGTTAAAATCCTTTCATGCATGTCATTCATGAATTTATTTCAACTGCTACTGCACAGTTCTAGTCTTCTTTCTTTAATGCTGTATGTAAAAACATCTGTCCTTCTGTAAAACATGTCTGTAAAGATGCTACTGTACTTAAATGATTTTAGTGATTTTAGCTTTGTCATATTTTCCTAATTCCTCCCTGGAAACATATTACTCCTAAATATATGTAGTATTAAGTACATGGGTTAGTAACAGTGGTATTTCCATCAGCTCTACAATTTGCAGCTGTGGGATTTAGTTAATGTCTTTGCAGATTTTTTGTTGGGACATATAATGTGAACGGTCAGTCACCCAGAGAAAGCCTCCAGCCTTGGCTGAGGTGCGATGCTGAGCCTCCAGACATTTACTGTGTGGGGTGAGTGTCTCTTTCTGGCGTGTCCTTCCAAACCTTGACTGTCGGTTGCTTGCTTGTGACTCCGTAGCGTGGAGATGTTCCCCCAAGACACTGCAGCTGAGGAATGTTTGTGTTGCCTTACTCCACTGCTCAGCTTTAGAGTGTGTTTGCACAGCCTGAAAGGGCTGTTATTCTGGTAGTGTTTGGACTCTCTGGCACTGCAGTTTTACAAAATCTGTAATGCCATTCAGTTTAATACTGATAGCAATTTAGCTTAACATACCTCTAAAATCAGCATCACTGAATTTGAGTTTTCAGTTATAAATTCAATGGGTATAAATTGATTTAGCTCTTTCCCAGAGGAAAGATCTGGAGAGTTATAAACAAGTGCATGTATCCATGGGTTCCTTCCTCTAACACAGTTTCCAGGAGCTTGATCTGAGTAAAGAAGCCTTCTTTTTCAATGACACACCGAAGGAAGAAGAATGGTTTAAAGCTGTAACTGATAGTCTGCACCCAGATGCCAAATACGCAAAGGTAAATGTGGCTTTTGGGGAGGTTTGAGTGTAGAATCATTTTCCACTTGGGCCTCTTTTCCCTCTGCTTTTTCTTGTTCTCAGTTGCTGTGTCTTCCAGCGACTCATTGTCTGCAGGCTTTTGCTCAGTCAGAAGTGCTCTGAAGATGAAGTAGGTAGTGTTGCGGTGCGGGGTGCCGAGGCAGGGGACAGGACAGGAGAGCAGAGCTAGGCGTCCACACGTGAAGGAAGCTCCTGCTATCTTGGGGGAAGAGAATAGGAAGTATCTGAGGTTCTTCCATGTCTGTCTCCACAATGCACGGTGGAATGAGTTGTGAAGGTATATTGGCAGTATACTGCTTATGTTTTGGCTCCTGTTCCTTAGGTCTGCTTTGTCTCTTATCACTGTTGTTGAAGGGAAGCTCCTTCTGTGGGCTGTGTAGGTTTTGTTTTGGGCTTCAGCTTCATTTACTGGGATGTTGGTGCCTAGTTCCTTCCTGTGCTGTGCTGCTGGAGTGCCCGTGTATTGTGAGCTCAGCGGGTCCACTGGATGAGCCTGGAACTCTCTTTTTCTTCATCTGTATTTTGATGACCCATGTTCTGGACTGGCGGGTGATGTGCATTCTTTCATCAGACCTCTCCCATTCTAGTATTTAATGGAACAGGATCTGTTTTTCAGGTGAAACTTGTGCGGCTCGTGGGAATCATGCTTCTGTTATATGTGAAAGCAGACCTTGCTTTGAACATCTCCGAGGTGGAAATTGAGACTGTGGGAACTGGAATCATGGGGAGGATGGTAAGAACGGCAACTGTGCAGGAGAAGGGGTGAGATTTAGAAGAGCCCTGGAGAGCCCCTCTCCTTAGATGCAGTGGTCATTCCTTCAGCTAAGGGAGACAGCTGCCGTTAGAAGTACATAGTCCTGTCCCTGTGCCAGCTCAGGGCGTTGCTAGAGGGAGTTGGCACGTGCTCACAAAGGCTCAAAGGGCTCGAGGGAGAATCCTCTCCGAAGGCTTTTTTTTCTGATTGCATGTGCTGGGCTGTCTGGAGCCTTGCTCTTGTGTGATTTTGATGCTGGCCATGATTTTGCCCAAAGCATAAAGACAAGGAAACATAAGCAGAAAAAACGTGTCTATGCAGATTAGTTTTCCTGAAGAGGACTTCCTGGCGTCTTGCCATTCTACACCATTGGAATGAAGTCTGTGCCTTTTGATTGTAGGTTCTGTGAACATTGCCTGCTGTAGGTGACCCTGCTTCAGCAGGGGGTTGGACTAGATGACCCACAGAGGTCCCTTCCAACCCCTACCATTCTGTGATTCTGTGATTGCCTCTATAACTTGTCAAAGGTATTTTTGATCAGCTAAGCCATGTGCTTCCTCCTCCGTTTACAATTTTTTTTATGGTTTATGCTGAAAGATCCAGTTTGTTGCTAAATAGGTTTCAGGACTTGCTGAAGTAACTGAAGCTTACTGATTTTAATTTCCTTTGGTGTAAACTAATTCCTGAATTACAAACTGAGTTCCATGTGCTTGCTTGCTGTGTTCAGTTGCTGTGTGCAACCCTCACATGCGTTGCTGTCTTGAATTCATGAAGCAGTTATCACTAACTGGTGTTTTAGCCTTTTCCTTCTTCTGGAATTAAATGGTCTGCCACGATGTCTTCTGGCTTCTCCACTGCTAGTAACGCATTTGTGGATCCATCTGTTGGCGTAGAAGCTTCTGACCAATGTCTTTGTCTTTGTCTTTCAGGGTAACAAAGGTGGTGTTGCCATAAGGTTTAAATTCCATAACACTAGCGTGTGCATTGTGAATTCTCACCTTGCAGCTCACACGGAGGAATATGAGCGGAGGAACCAGGACTTCAAAGACATCTGCTCTCGGATGCAATTCTGCCAGTTGGATCCAAATTTGCCTCCTCTCACTATTGGCAAACATGAGTATGCTTCTCATCTGACTGTGTGAATCGCTACATGTGGCAAGGAAGAACCGTATGAACGTACTGGCGTGTGAGGTTCTCTCAGCAGGGATGTGAGAAGCAGTGCCTGGTGATCTAATTGTCAGCCTGGAAGGGCCAGAAATGTTTTACCATAACCCTGGTTTTGAGAGTGGTCACTTATACAGTTCTGACAAGTCACTTGCCTTCTTATCTCTTCCAGACCTTGGTTTATTTTCAAGCGTGAAGTGGGAATGGGGCAATAACATGCATCAGTTTCCCCAGTGGGTCGTGGGGGTTAGTCAGTGTGGAATGTTAAAAGCCCCACTTATTAAGAGGTAGTGACAAACATGCAGAACAGGAATTAAAATCAGTAAAAGGTAGAAAATGTAGCTTCCCTTTCAAGTTTTCACTCTTACTTGTTCTCTCCGATGGAGAAGCAGACACAGCATCCACCTGATCGTGTGGAGGTTGGAAGAGCTCGTGCTTGCGTTAGACGGTTGAAGGCATGGCTGCAGAGCTGTGCTTCCAGCTCACGGCCCGCTTGCGTTCTGGACGTTTTTAGGCCTCTGTGCAGACTTCTGGTGTACGTTCTCTTTCAGTGTGATCTTATGGTTGGGTGACCTCAACTATCGTCTGGAGGAGCTGGATGTGGCAAAAGTGAAGCAGCTTGTAGATGAGCAAGCATTTCTAGAGCTTTGCCAGTATGACCAGGTACTGATGTCTCGCCTGCCTGCAGGTGGTGCTGAGGGTGCTACTTAGAAACGGCACACGCGCTCCGTAGCCTGCTCGGTGCTGAACATCTCCCTCTTAGCTCATAAGGGAATTGTGCTTGAGCTTATTTAAAATGAAATTTTTTGTCTTTTTTTGTTTCATAGCTAAAGAGGCAAATGAATGCAAATGCAGTCTTTGAAGGCTTTACAGAGGGAGAGATTTCTTTCCAGCCAACATACAAATATGATGCTGGCTGTGATGACTGGGACACAAGGTACGGTGATTGCCTCATATGTGATGCCTCCAGTGGCTGATGTTATCATTGAAGGAAGTAAAAACAAAGCTAAAAGAATTGCAGATCTAATGGCTATGAACAGCAACAGTTCTGAGATTATTGCTGTTCCTCTCCCTTGGCTCCAAAGTGTATCTTCAGTTTACATCTCTTTATGTTGCTTTTCTTCCACTGCTATTTGTCAGATATTCCTAATCTTTTTTTCCTGGGAGTAATTCGTTGGGTTTCCTCTTACTTAGAGGTTTACAAAATTAAGGACTCAGTGTCATTCTTCCCCCCCCCATGAAATTTTTAGGATATTTTATTTGCTGCTATCTGCTATACTGACTCAGGTCAGACCAGCTAGGGTACAAAATGGTGTATTTGTGCTGTCTGTAGCTTAGTGCATTTGCCAAAAGACTGCAAGAACCATTGTTCCTGTAATGCACTACACAGAGTAGCTGACCTGTTCTTAGTAAACTGGGAACATTGGCTTCAAGTGTGGGAATGAAATTTTTGCAGCAGTCAGTGAAAAAAAATAAAATGTGAACTTTAAATGTAGAGTCTGAGTTCTTATTTTTCATGGTTCTTATGGTCAAAAGTATGTCTGAGTATTGCTTTGTATGTTAATTGTATCAAAAGAACAAAACCAGTAATTGCATCTTTGAAGAAGTACAAAGTAAAGCATGATATAGAGATACCTAAGAGTAGAAAAGCAAATTTTTTATAACTACTCAAGGAAACTCTGCAAAATACAATTTCCATAGACAACTAGCTTCAGGCCGTGCCAGGAAAACAGAGTCTCTGGGAGAGGAGTATTCTGCCTTGCATCGTTCCTCCAGCTGAACTGTGCCTGGAAACTGTCATTTTTGTCTCTGTTTTAGTGAGAAGTGTCGTGTTCCAGCATGGTGTGATCGGATACTCTGGAAAGGGCAGAACATTGCTCAGCTGAGCTATCGCAGCCATATGGCTTTGAAGATCAGCGATCATAAGCCAGTCAGCTCTGTGTTTGATATTGGGGTAAGTACGTCAGTGCTGAAGGAAATAATTCTGCTGACCTCGTCCTCTGTGTGGGGAGAGGGGGAAGGAGGAGGGAGGTTCTCCTACTGACTTCCCTCTCCTGCTTTTATGGCACTGGCAGAGAACAATGGCTTAAAGGTGGGCTAGATAAGATACTGAGATAGGATTGTTCATAGTAAGCTAGGGCTGTGTTAAGTGATGCTTCAGTTAAGCAAAATAATGCATGAATATCTGTAGGTGTTTTTTCAGAAGTTCCCTTTTGCCTTTTTTTCTCATTTTCCTAATAGTTTTCACAGAAACTTGTAGTGCAGGACTGCTACATCATTGACAACACAGTAGTGTGTCGTCAAACCAATTTTTTTGGGGAACCACGCTGACGGGGTGACTCTCTTGCTAGTTACGGCAAGGTCCTTTGCCGTTGGATCCTGAAGAGTCCTAGAGCATTAGTGGTCCAAGTGGCTCTGTTCATTACATGTGTTGTATACGCTAGTGTGCTGCTAAAATCAAATTGCTTCGTTTCCAGCTGTGTTGCAGCTCTCCTGCAGAGGCACAGTAGATGCCAGTTGGTGCAGTGTGTGTCCTTTTCAGGTGAAGGTTGTGAACGAGGAGCTCTATCGAAAAGCCTTTGAGGAAATAGTCCGCTCCCTGGATAAGCTGGAGAACGCCAATATTCCCTCGGTGACCCTCTCCCAGAGAGAGGTAGGGTATGTTCATGTGCTGTGATTCACTGGAGAAACTGAGCAACCCTAGACCCCAGATGTGTATTCCAGCCGTAGAAGGACATCACATGGATTCTGTACCCTGGGGTCTGGTTCCAAAGAAGTAGAATATTTTGACTTCTAACTGTTCTCTGTTTACAAGCCCTAGAAATATTTGTTTCTGTTTAGATGCAGGTAAATTCCATTCACAGTACCAGGCTGAAAAGTAGGGCGTGTAACTCCCCGAGGTGGGGAGAGAGAGAGTAAAAGGGTAGTTTGTGGCCTTTGCTCTGACTTGTTCTTTGAAACACAAAATGTGAAGTCTGAAGGATTTGGAGGAGGTCACAAAACTGATGCTTGCTTTGTGTATTGGGGACTGAAAAAGATAAGCAAATGAGACATTTGAGGCTACAGCTGTCTTCTTCTCAAGTTTCACTGAGGTCATTTGAGGGGAGTATTTGTTTTAAAGGGCCCACTGATGCAAATGGCTTTAGCATACAGAGTAAGCAACTGTAATCCTACGTAATCCTGGAAGAGATGGGACGCGGGAGCAAGAGGGTTAATCTGGGTATCTTGGTGCTTAATGATTAAACTACAGGACAGGAATTGCTGCTGGTGCTTGGCAAGGTGGAACTGGCTGATGGTCCTGACTCACATTTGTTTCTAGTTCCATTTTGAGGATGTTAAATACATGCAGCTGCAGGTAGAGAAGTTTACAATCCGCAATGGACAAGTGCCCTGCCAGTTTGAATTCATCAGCAAACCAGATGAGGAAACCTACTGCAAGGAGTGGCTGACTGCTAATCCCAGTAAGGGCTTTCTGCTATCAGGTGAGTGCCCCGTTGTTCAGCTCATGTTAATGAGCTGATGTTGTCATCTTCTGGCTTAGTTCTCTGCTATTTTGAGAATGCTATGCTTCTTTGCAGGCTTACAGGTTTAATACCTTTTTTAACTGAGTATGTTTTTTTTTATCATCTTCTGGCAGATGCTGAGATCACAATTGAGTTGGAGGTGTTTGTTAATAAATCAACAGCTACACACTTGAACTCTGGAGAGGAAAAACTTGAAGATATCTTGGTCTTGCATCTTAACAGAGGGAAGGATTATTTTCTGTCTGTAACAGGAAACTACTTGCCAAGTTGCTTTGGGTCTCCCATTCATACGCTGTGTTACATGAGGGAACCGATTCAGGACATGTCAGCAGAATCCATTCGGAAACTTGTGAGTTAAAGACAAGATTCCCTTCTGAACCCGCAAGAACCATTAAAACTAGATGTTAAGTCCTGTTTATTGCTGAAGAGCCTTCTTCCACTTCCTTGGTCCTTAGTCTGAGAATGCTGATACAGCTGGTGCTCTCCCGTGCACCACCTACATACCTTGTGTTAATTCTTCATGTGGATGAACCAACCCGTTTCATATAGAGAGCACTGAAAATAACATCCCATTTGCTCTGCCTGCGCATTTAGAAAAGGTGTGCTCCTTCTAAACGTAGACCTTTTCCCTGGAGCCTTTGGCTTTCTCCACACGGAATGGAGATGTGTGTGTATATGTGAGGCACGATGCAACTTTTCCAAAGAGCTGAGCGTATGTGAAGCGTGTTTACCAGAGCAGCTTCCTTCTGTCTGGACTTTTGATATCAAGCTGCCTGTTGTACTAGTCTTGCACGAAGACTGGTGAGTGAAGCTGCACAGTTTCCTAAGAAGTCTTCTCAGGTATAAGCTCTGTGAAGCATTTTTGCAGAGTTGAAGAACTTGGCTAGCTACCTCCTTTTTTTTTTTCCTCCCCCCACCTCCCTCTCTCAGACCATGATGCCACTAGAAATGAGTGATGACACTCTTCAAGCTGAAAAACCTCTGGACATTCCAAAAGAGCTGTGGATGATGGTGGATCACCTATACCGCAGTGCTTCCCAGCAGGTTGGCAGTGTTTGTACTGGAAACACAAAATAATTTGTTTGTGTTGGGTTTAGTTTAGAAGAAGATACTGGTAATGGCAACCATTGCTATCTGTGGATGTTTGGCCAATGGTAAAGAGAAATAAAGGGCACCTGTGATAAGTGATCCTGGTGTCCCAGGTTGCACTGTTTTGTGATGGTGACCTTGTCTGTGTGGGGCATGCATCAGCAGCTGTCCTTGTGCACTGTGCTCTACTGCAATGCCACAGCCTTACTAGAGCTGCTCTTGGATTTGTGCTTGTAACTACCAATTTGGAGAGATTTTTCCAGCCAGATTATAACAACATTGTTCTGTTTATCCACATAACTTGTTTTCATTGAGACTGACTAATGGTGGTCTTTGCAGGAGGACCTGTTTCAGCAGCCAGGCCTCAGACCAGAGTTTGAGCAAATCCGAGATTGTTTGGACAAAGGAATGCATGATACCCTCCGTATCCTTAGACTGATGTCTGGTAAGGCTCACTATGCCTTAGTGATCAAAGCTGAAAAAGATTTTATCAGTCTTCTGTGCCCTGCCATGTTTTTTCAATTACTGTCTCTGATCTCGGGGTAGCAGATCTGCAGTTCCTCACTACTCCTTGTAATCAGTACCAATGCCTCAGCTAACTCCTTGCGATGTTGATGAGTTTACACAAGGGTCTGAGTGCCAGTGGAAACAGCTTGCGATGTGGACTCAAGTGATTTAACTCAAAGCTGTGAACAATAGGAGGACTTCTTGGAGACCTAGGCAAAAGTTAATATTTCAGCAGAAGTATGACCAAAATAGATCACGCTGTGCATGCCTCTTCCTTAACCATCTTTGGATCAGTTGGCAGCAACCACTCGGTAGCAGAAGCCCTGCTGCTCTTCCTGGAAAGCCTGCCGGAGCCTGTCATCTGCTACAGGTTCTACAGCAGCTGTTTGGAGAGTGCCAGCAACTACCCACTGAGCAGCCAGGTATCGCCGGCGTCGCTGTCAGGCCATTTCTGTAGTTCTGGAGGGAGGGGAGGCAAACTGTTTTATGCCAGACCAGTAACAGGTTTTTGCTCTCAGAAACTTACTCATCTGGTAATAGGAAGGATCTAGAACTGGTGCTTCTTGGTTATTAAGAGCTGTTAGTATTTACAGACAGGGTGATGCTGGTAGAAGATAAAGTCCCTAAGCCATTGCCATGTCTTCAATATAAATGTTGTGGTTTTTTTCCCCTCTCCTCAGATTGTCTCTAACCTGCCAAGGTGCCATAAAAATGTATTTGAGTATCTAATGGCATTTCTACGAGAACTACTGAAAAATTCAGGGAAAAACCATTTGGATGTGAATATTCTTGGTAAGGCAAGCAAAATAACCATCCTTTTTGGACAGGCTTTGCAGTTTGTATAGCAAAACACATTTCTCCAAAGTGAGTGCGGTCATGGCTTCTACTGTCTTGAAGCATTTAATAGTGAGCGAACAGTCCATGGGAAAAACGTCGTTGCAGTAGCCTGACAAAAGTTGTGAAGTGACTCAGAGATGCGTGAGTCACCAGCTTTGTCTTGCCCCATTCTGAAGCCAGGTTCTCTCTCACCTAGACTGCTTGGGGTTGGTGGAATTACCCTTGGTATCCTCCTGCTGACGGCTCTTTTTGTGTGTGTGTGTGTCACTTTTTTTTTTCTTTTTCTAAATGCAGCAAGTATATTTGGTGGCTTGTTACTTCGACCTCCTCCTGGACATCCTACCCCTGACATAACTGAAAAGAGGAAAGCTCAACAGTTTATCCACCAGTTTCTCTTGAGAGAAGACAATTTACCATGAATTTCAGATGCAGCCAATCTGATTTTTAGGTATCAAATTATTGTATATTTTTTGTACAGTATACTGGCTTTTTTTTGATATGACTATTTTATACAATCTATGGCTTTTGAAGGCACAGATCAGGCATCTTGAATCAGGTGTCGCTGTTTAAGCTGTAAAGTGTAGCAAATTTCTAAATAAGCTGTATGTAGACAGGCAAAAATATAAAAGCTGGTATTTGCACTGTATTTTATTTAACTTGTATTAAAACTCAGAATTTTTAAGTCCTTGTTATTTAAATAAAAAAATCATGGTGCATTTTTCCAGCCTCTCTGCCCACTTTCGATGTTGGCTGGGTTTAACTCACGTTGTAGAAAGCTTGGTGCAGCCCTGTTCCGTGGTTCCCGTTCTGCTCCCCTGCCTGTGCAACCGGGAGCAGCGCGGGTGGCGAGCGATGGAGGCCGGGGACGGGTCTGCGAGAAAAGCGGTTGGTCAGAGTCCTGCGCGGGCGGGTGCGTCTGGTGCTGCCCCCAGGGGAAGGGCGCGGGGGGAGGCGGC